AAAAAAAAAAAAAAAAAGAAATGGTGTAGTGAAGAATTCTGGAGGTAATTACAATAGAATATTTGCATAAAACATAGGCGGAAGAGACTTCTGTCTTCCTCATTCTGCAATGCTGTAAAGACCAAGGAAAGCAGCCCAATTGTACCTAATATGGTTTACAATGTTTTTCTTAAGAGAACAGCTGTCTTATGCTGAATGGCTCTAAAGCTAATTTCAGAAACCTCACTCTTGCTCCTTAATTACATCAAATAATAATATTATATTGACTGAACAAAAAAGAACTTTTCTATTTTTAAAAGTGTCAGGAAACCATCCCTAAGTTATGCCAAGAAAGTAAACGTTTGTCCTTGACAGAAACTTACTTCATTAAATGGTGACTATTCATGGAAGAACAGAAAAGGCAATACAAATACAAACCAAAGGATATGAACAATGCTTCTTTACAGTCGACTTTTTTTCCCTAGGAAAGGAGTTTATCAATCAAGTCCCATCAGAGTGTGGCAAGCAAAGCTCATTTTGATGGTCAATATCTACTCACAAAAGACCAACAAATCAGCAGTGTCTGTCCACATACCTAAAGTGTCACTTTGAAGATGTAAGGGCAAGTAAAGCCGTTTTCATTGTAGCACTCTATTACAAATACACACACATACACACACATATTTTGGTGAGCTGTTTATGCTCTACAAAGAACAGATTTAAAAAATAGGTGGAATGAGTGGAGTTGGGAGAGATAGGGAGAATGATGGAAAGGGAAATATTGATCAAGATGCATTATACTCACATATTGAAGTTGAAACTCCTTTGTATAACTACTTAAGGATAATAGAAATGTTATGAATTTGTCAAATGAACTTTTAAAATTATTTCAAAATAGTCATCTGATCAATTTAAAATTTCAAATATGTACATAACCCCAACCAGGAAACCAATCCAGGTAAAACGTCATTGTCAAAATGGAATTTCTTTCTTTTTCTTTCTTTGGTGCTGGTACTAGAGTTTGAACTCAGGGCCTTGTGCCTTGCTTGGCTTTTTCCACTCGAGGCTAGCATGCCATCAAAATAGCATTTCAGAAACATTCACAAAGGAATCTTGTGGCATGTTTAGGAAACTAAAGTATGAAGGAGGCTTTTTTGGTTTCCTAAATAGGAGAAATTTCAGAAAGAAGAGGACCTGTGGACCTTAATGTGAAGGAGAATGAGATGAAAGTATTTTTTTTGACATCTTTAGAACATCAGGGACAAGTCACAGTGAAATAGAAGAGGCTTTGAGAATGTCAAGGCTGTAGAACTTAGCAGGTAAGATGACTGTTTGGAATGAAGCCCTAGGCAGAAATCAGTCCTCTGAGGGCAAACCCAGGGTAGGGCATTGAGCCACCTTGGAAATGTTTATTGAGATTTAAACTTTTGAAATTATGTTAAAAAAAACCCTCCAGGGCTGGGAAGGTGGCTCAGTGGTAGAGCGCTTGCCTTTCATACATGAGGCCCTGAGTTCGATTCCTCAGCACCACATAAGCAGGGGGGGGAAAAGCCGGAAGGGGCACTGTGACTCACAAGTGGTAGAGTGCTAGCCTTGAGCTGATGAGCTGAGGGACAGTGCCCAGGCCAGAGTTCAGGCCCCACGACTAGACCCCCCCAAAAAAAAACCCTCCAATATAGTCTAAAGGGAAGAAATAACACTGTTGTTACAATACAGTGCGCTAAGTACGGCTCAGGCCTTCTAACTGTTTTGAGTTGTAGGTGCACAGGCATAGAGCCTTACTGTGGATTGAATCTAGGGTCTCACACAAACAAGTGACCAACTACACTCCAGCGGAGAATATCACTTTAAGATGCTGGATATGTCATATGAACATGTACCACACTTGTCAAAACACACATGGATTTCTACAGAATGGAAGAAAATACTTATATTTTTATAACTACAGATCTAAGCCTAACTTCCTCCAAAAGGTGTTACTGCTTTATCTTAAACTCAGGTTTCCTATCTCCCCATTTTTTTGTGTGGCAGTATTAAGAATTGAACTCTTGGCCTCACGCATTCTCAGCAAGCACTCTGCTACTTGAGCTATGTCTCCACCACTTACATTTTCTTGACTCAGGACTTTTTACTCTGAGGGAACCTGTAAAATACCATTTTGTGCCACTCCCATTTGTCAAATGTGCTTTATCATACTATTTTTTTTTGTTTTTTTTGGAAGATAACGAAGAAATTACTAAAATGGCTTTGATCAATTCCAGTAACTATCCGGCTCCTGCCTGCTGGTGGAGGCCCTGAGGGGTGGTTTCTACCTGCAGACCGTGTGAGTATGGGACAGGGAATGAAAAAAGGGGGTGAGGACTCCCTCTCTACGATCTGTCACGGGGACTGACTTTCATAGGTGAGATTTCCAAAGACATGGTTTGTTTTGTTTTGTTTTTCCCCTACCACTGGGCTTAGAAGACAGAGGGTATAAGGATTCCAGGTGGTTAATTCCCTGAGTATTAAAAAATGACAACCTTGGGTTATTATGTTGTTGGGGGTGTTATTTGCTTTGTTTTCTTTTCCTTTTCCTACTTACAGGGATAAACAGGATACAGGGAAGGAGGAAGGGTGAATGAATATAATCATAGTATTCAGTATACAGTATGTGAAAAATGAACTATGGAACTTGTGGGCAAGGTGGGAGGGGCTAACTAGGGAGAAGTGAAGGAAGGAGTAACATTGTCTAAAATAGAGAAAGTTATGCATTACTGAATTGTGAAATGGTAACCCCTCTGTACACCACCTTAATAATAACAATATAATCACATAAAAAATAACCATCTTGAAAGTCACACAGGACTTTTTTCTCCCTTCTTTCACAGATTTTGCTTACCAGTAGGAGATTCTTTATCTCCTTTCACAATATCCTATCTTTTTTTATTAACAACAATTCATGCAGGTAGATTCTAGTCCTCAAGAATGTCTTGATCTCTGCTATGAAAACTTGGAACTGTTAGCAAAGGTATTTAAAAAATCCAGAAAGATGAGCTAAGACAAGTGCTCTACCATTTGAGCCACAACACCCTTCTGGCCTTTTCTGGGTAGTTTACTGGAGAGTTTTCTTTGTTGGTTGTGGGACTTGAACTCTGGGCCTGGGAGCTGTCCCTCAGCTCTTCAGCTCAAGGCTAGCACTTTACCACTTAAGCCACAGTGCCACTTCCGGTTTTCTGATAGTTAAATGGAGATAAGAGTCTCACGGACTTTCCTGCCAGAGCTGGCTTTGAACTGTGATCCTCAGATCTCAGCCTCCTGAGTGGCTAGGACTACAGGCATTTTCACTTTCTAAAAAGATGGAGAAACATCTCAGCAATTAGTAGATAGGCCTTTAATTCTAGGAGGCAGGAAATCCCCACTTATTCAATGTCCTTGTGGAGACTTTTAGTTCATATGGGGTTGTAGCCCCCTCATCGGTTTCCATTGTCCAGGTTGGTTTCAGAAGTACTGACATCAAAAAAAGAGGATTATGGGGCTGGGAAGGTGGCTCAGTTGTAGAGCTCTTGCCTTGCATGCCTGAGGCCCTGGGTTTGATTCCTCAGCACCACATAAGCAAAAAGAAAAAAAGCCGGGAGTGGCGCTGTGGCTCAAGTGGTAGAACACTAGCCTTGAGCTGAAGAGCTGAGGGACAGCGCCCAGACCCAGAGTTCAGGCCCCACAACAGGACCAAAAAAAAAGAGGATTACAGAAGGATAACAGGCAATGGCTGATGCCATGACATAGAAAAGCATCAATATTTCTTGCTGTTGAAGATTCTAGAGAGGGAATTTAGGAAAGGTTTACAAATCAAACTACCTTTGCAGATAGGTTTAAGTCACTTGGATTCAAAACTGAAACAACACAATCTGACACCTGTTAAAGCTTTTTGGAAATCTTTCTCCTCCCAATTGCTAAGGGGAGTTCAAAATGATCATGCTTATTGATAAATAGATGGTGGACACATTTTAAGGAATGCTAAGAAAAACCTATATTGGGCACTGGTGGCTCATGCCTATAATTTTAGCTACTCAAGAGGCTGAGATCATGGTTCGAAGCCAGCCCAGGCAGAAAAGTTCTTGTGAGACTCTTATCTCAAATTAACCACTCAAAACCACAAGTGGTTCAATTGGTAGAGCATTAACCTTGAGCACAAAGAGGCTCAGGGACAGTGCCCAGGCTCTGAATTTAAGTTCTATTCCCCCCTCCTCCAAAAGAAAAGAAAAGAAAAGAAAGCCCTCAGTAGATTGTTATGGAAAACATTCCCTTTCAAGTTTAAAAATCACTAGATTTGGAACATTCTATTGAGTTCTGGTATAATTAAGTTTTTCATCAGGAGAGAAGCAGTTTTAGTCACTGAAATCTAAGAGGACATTCTTCCACAGCACCCAGCAGAAAGGGAAAAAGGAAAAACCCCTTAGTTACTAGTCTTAAATGAAAGATATCTCCTACCAAAACAAGAGAAAAGGCTGACTAGTTCAAGTCAGAAACCCAGGTTGAGGTTTCCAAGGCCCTTTTATTATGGGAAGGTTTCTTTTATGTATTAACAAGACTTCACATGTATATCTATAACAATCAGATTAATTTTCAAAAATTAGGTGAAAAGAACAAAACAAATGCACTTTTGATACATTTTTGATATATACTGAACACATCTAAAAGAATTTATAAAATGTTCACCTTCTTACAGAATAAAGGCAGACTGAATTCTGAATGGACCTCCAGGTTTAAGTTATTTTGAGTTATTTTTGTTTCATTTCCCACTTAGAAGTAGCATTGCTCGTCGGGTTGCGGTCCACCTCAGCAGGATTGCGTCATTGCTGAGCTTTCTTCCTCTGGATGCTCCTTTGCACAGCCGAGATTAGGGGTTTCATTGACAAATCGGGGGACCTACTACCAAGTCGAGGTGGCATTCGCTCATTAATTCGGTCCAGACCTCGAGCTTCTTCAAAACTCTGGATTTTGTGCCCAACTGAAAATCCTGTGATGATGAAGGAAAAATAGGAAAGGGGGGAGTAGAATGCTTAACTAGGCAGCAAAGCAATAATTTAACCAAGTGGCCCACAACACAGAAACCCCCTAAGAAACACACAGAAGTGGCTATGGAGTACCTATCTGGTGACAGTACAGGCAACAGTGATTGAATCAGCCCTATCTAAATGACTGCTTCCAGGCTCAAAAGGCAGCTGAAATAAATCTTCATAAAAGCTCATGGATAACAATGGCGGAAACAGACCTGACAAAAAGCTAACAAGTTCTTAATCTCAATATGTTTGAGAAAGTTTTTTAATGGGCCAGAAACATATGGATGTTACAAAAAAGACATTAGGAATATAACGTGTTAAACCCAAAGTAGTTGGTTTAGGCACAAACAGGGCATTGGCCATTAAAAAAATCTTTGTGGGAAGTAGCACTATGGCTCAAGTGGTAGAGCAGTCACCTTTTGCTGAAGAGCTCAGGAACAGCGCCCATGCCCAGAGTTCAAGACTCAGGACTGAAAAAAAAAATCTTTGTGTTGAGGATATCTTGTACAACCAGGAGCTAAAACCATCTACACAGCTTCTAGATATTGTCTTTCTGATTCAACTTTGGATTCTCTTTTGAACCACTCTTCCTAATAAAGCCATTACACTTATAACAAAGGTTTGTGTATTTTCACAGTTTTCATTCACATATTCATAAAGTTTTGCTTAAAATGTTTCCATAAAAACATTTAAGATAGGGCTGGGAAGGTGGCTCAGTGGTAGAGTGCTTGCCTTGCATGCCTGAGGCCCTGGGTTCGACTCCTCAGCACCACATAAGCAAAAAGAAAAAAAACGGAAGTGGTGCTGTGGCTCAAGTGGTAGAGCGCCAGCCTTGAGCTGAAGATCTGAGAGACAGCGCCCAGGCCCAGAGTTCAGACCCCACGACCACACCTCCCCCCAAAAAAATTTAAGATAATTTAACTTAATGCCTTAGGGCACATAAGAAATGAAGCAAACTAAATTCATCTACTTTTGCTTCTGCTCTTGCAAACCTTTCAAGTGATGAGTGGAGTGGCTAGTTAGTCTGACTGCTAACCAAATAGTTGGCTCTTGTATGTGCAAAGGATATAGGACTAAACCACTTGGCCTTTCTCATTACCAGTTGCACAGTTTTTAGTCATTGCATTCAAACTCAGAGAGCCCAGAAAAGACTTAAGCTTTCAATCAAATACATAAAAATTTTAGATATGTTCATGCCCAGGAATAGCTATTCCTCTCTTCACTGTGACAGCCCTGGTGATGCAATACAAGATTGAAATGTTGACCAGCTTCTCAAAAGTAGCACACAGATACACAAGCATGTCTATCAGAGTAAAGTGGTCATACCTTCCTGGGACCGTATCGCCTGGACTGTAGCTGTAGAGGACAGGAACAGCAGCATGCAAAAACAAAGACAGAAGAATGAGTACATCAGCAACACTGCTAACAGCCACATGACCCAGGGTTCTACCTACTACTCTGTCCATAATAAACCCAATGCCTTAGAGAAACAAGAGGACAACTAAATTTGGTGAGAGGGAAAACTAAATTGGGTAGGTAAGCAAGACCTTAAGTAGGGAGAATTTCTAATGGAAAACAACTAACTGCTAGTTTATGTTCTGACACCAAATATCAATTACTTATCCAATAATTTGACATCACAAGTGCAAATGTGTTTATGCATGCACCAGCAGTCTCACAGACTGGCTCTTGCTCACAGCTGGTGCTCTACCTCTTGAGCCATGCCTATAGCTCAGCATTTTGCTGGTTAATTGGAGATACAGTGTCATAGACTTTTCTGCCTGAAGTGACCTTGAACTGCAGTCCTCTAGATCTGTCTCCCAAGTAGCTAGAATTATAAGTGTGAGCCACCCACACCTGGCTCAATTGTCTTTAATGACTGAATTAAAAAAGAGTGACCACTGAGTAATAATAGCCTAGCATTTAGAAATAAGAGAAAAATGGACTACAGTGAGGAGTTATTTCTTGTCTAAGAATAGACTATTAGGCCAGAAAAGGCACAGACAATTCAATTCTGATACAAATTCATGTACCTTTCTGGATTGGAGATATGGCAGAGGCTGACATGACAACCTATATGGCTTCTGTTTATTGTGCAAGAAAACAGGCCAGTTGCTACGAGAGCCTTCCCTTCCTTCCTTTAGTGAAAAAACTGAAGAAATTAAAAAACCACCAGGTAAATGTCCTTGTCTGTGCTTTGTCAGACAGTAAAACCTTAACACATGAAAAAATGTAGCAAGGAACATCACAGAACTCGTCAATTCCTTCTGTAGCAATTTTGTTAACAATGGCAGGGCTTGTGCCTTCCCACAGTGCATTGCAGATACAAGTGTCAAGAAATGACAAAAAGAATTCTTCAGTGTTGACCTAATTAGTTAAAAATAGGCCTGGAAGAATGTGTATTACATTGTTTTGGACTCTCATGTTTTATTTTATTTTGTTGGTCATGAGTCTTCAACTCTGGGCCTGGGCTCTGTCCCTCAGATCTTCAGCTCAAGGTGAGCGCTCTATCACTTGAGTCACAGTGCCACTTCTGGTTTTCTGGTGGTTAATTGGAGATAAGAGTCTCACAGGGACTTTCCTGCCCAGGCTTGCTTTGAACAGTGATCCTCAGATCTCAGCATCCTGAGCAGCTAGGGTTATAGGCGCGAGCCACCGACAACCAGCCTCTCTGATATTTTTGTAATCTTCCTGCCTCAGCCTCTTAGTGCTGAAGAGTACTGGTATTAAGCCAGCATGCCCCGGTAAGAAATGCTTTCTGCAGTGGCTATTAAGACAGCAGCTTGTCTTAAGGGATATTATAAGAAGAAAAGTAATATAAAACTAACATCTTTACTGAAATGTCACTCACATGTAATAAAATTCTATTGTTTAAAGTATAAAAGTCAATGATTTTGATATATTTAGAATTGTGCAACCATCACAATTTAGAAAATTTTCTTTACTCCCAAAAGGAATGCCCTACTCATTAGCAGTCACTTCTCATTTTGCTCCTCCAGCAATATCCCTTGATGCTAGTCAACGACTACTCTACTATTCTGTCCCTACATTGTCATTAGTGACTGCTTGCAGTTAACACATCTTCAAGTGTCACTTGTATTCAAGCATGAACTTACACTTCATCCCTTTTTATGGCAGAACAGTATCCATTAGATATACTATATTTTGTTTAAGTGAAAAACACTTAACTTGTAACACTTTGGGGCTATATGAAGAATGCTACTTAGGAGAATTTGCATACAAATCTGGGGGACCCAAAACCAGGACTGTTTGCTGGGCCATATAGTAACTCTCTTTAATCTCTTTAAATCATTTGAAGAACTATATTTTATACCATTTTATATTCCCATATGCAGTATATGAGACCATTGCAGTATATGAGACAGTGCTACTTCCATCTTTTTTCTGGGTAGTTTATTGGAGACAAGAGACTCATGGACATTCCTGCCCTGGCTGGCTTTGAATCACGATCCTCAGATCTCAGCCTCCTGAGTAGTTAGGATTACAGGCGTTTTCACTTTCTTCATAGTACCATTTACAGTACAGAAGTGTTCAATGTTGACTGGTCTAATTTAAAACTGCTTTGTTCTTTTTATCTTGGAGTCTTTATGGATTTGTTTTTCCTCTTGATTTCTGGTTTTCCTCTTTACTTTAGCTACAAGGAACGCTGCAGTCAAATCTGTAGTTGTATTGGCTTTCCTTTTATTTTCTTTCTTTTCTTCTTTGGCAAGAGAATTTTAGAACCGATCCTCTGAAGAGGTAATACTGAAGAAGATACTGGCTGCAGGCAGAGGCAAATACTCTCCCTGATTGAGAAACTTAATTCTCCAAATTGTTCTCATTACATGCACAAGGTATATCATGAGCACGAATCTGAGGTACATAGTATAATTCAGTTTGTTTCTCTTTTTTTGGTATGTCATGGGGCTTGAACTCTGGGCCTGGGCACTGTCCCTCAGCTCTTTAGCTCAAGGTGAGTGCTCTACCACTTGAGCCACAGTGCCACTTCCAGTTTTCTGAGTGGTTTATTGGGGATGAGTCTCTCAGCCTTTCCTGCCTGGGCTGGTTTTGAACCGCAATCCTCAGATCTTGAGCCATCGGCGCCCAGCTTTAATTCAGTATTTTAAGTTTACATATGTGTAATTACCATTTAGACCATTATACATATATATATATAATATGTATATCTAGCTATAGAGATATCTAGATATCTAGACATCTAGATATCTCAATATATCTATATATCGAGATATCTAGCTATAGAGAGATATATTCCCAACACTAAGAAGTCCATCTTGAGTGAATATCCTATCAGAGAAAGCACTGGGAAGTGTACTGTGGCTCAAGTGGTAGAATGCTAGCCTTCAGCACAAAGAGGCTCAGGGACAGCACCTAGACCCTCAGTTCAAGCCCCCACCGCCAACAAAAAAAACAACAAAGCACAGAGAAAGCACTGTCCTCAGTCTTTCTTTCTCAGTCTCTTGCCAGTGATAAGTCAAATATATCAGATAGGCTGTGCTCTCACTTTTTTAGATTACCTCATAAACTCTGAGATTCAATCATGTTGTTATATGAAACCATAATATATTTTTTATGGCTGAATGGTTTGTTATATAAATATAACACAATTTACTTATCTGTTTTATTATAATGGATGTTTGGTTTGCTCCTAGTTTAGAATTATTATAAACTCTTCTCTAAGTTTGTGGCTTGCCTTTGCCAAGTCTATGAAATATTTTCATGAAAATAAATTCATTTTAATGGAATTCAACTTACTCCTTTTTCTGGGAACACTAGTTCTTTTTGTGTCCTAAAGGTGCTTTGCTTACCCCAGTGGCTACTCTCGACACTTCCTCCTAGGAGTTTTATTGTGTTACCATTTACACTTAAGTTATAATCTATTTTGAGTTAGTTTTTGTATACAGAAGAGGGAAGTCCAAAGATTCACCTTTCCAGCAGATGGAGAGCCTGTGTGTCTAGCAACGTTTTCTGACTGAGAGGCAGGGTGTGCACCTTCCACGGGGGCCCCTACTCACCTTTCTCAATGGTCTGCCGTCCTCCTGAGAGGACACCTAGGGGGAGTGTGCCTGAGGAGGTCAGGCCCTTGAGAGTCAGCACACTCTCACTCTCTTCCCTGCAAAGGAACATGGAAGCCCTGGTTAATGCCAGGGAACCACACTGCTCAGCAAGTCAATGACACTCAGTAAAGTAAAAAAAAAAAAAAAAAGCCACAGAAGAATCGCTTTCCCTCCCTCCCTTCACTCTGAATCAAAGGAGGAAAGGGTTTTCTGAAATATCCTGATTTTAAGCAATCGATCAGTTTTTGATCAGAGGGCCTGAAAGCTAGGTGCTATTTTGCATGCAAAATTCCATTTGACCACTTAACAACCCTGTGAGCTTGGTCCTATTATCTGTATTTTACAGACTAGGAAACTGAGGCACATAGTATTATTACACTGCTAAGAGAGAGTCAGAATTGAACACAGGCACTTTGGCTCTGACATCCACACTACACCACTACCTACATTTCACTACATCTACGCCAGTACCAAGCAAATGTTTTCCAGAACAATGTTAGTCATTTCAACATGGAAGTGAGGTTCAGCATTCAATTAAAGATCTACAGTTCCAATACCAAATTTTAATCCTAAACACACTACTCTAAATCCATATCTAACTTTCTTTTCAAATGCCTTTATCCCACACTAAAAACAGGCATCTCCTTACCGAAGAATTGAAAAGACCCGTACCATCTTCCCAATGGCTCTGATCTTATTCTTGATGATCTCTTTTCGGGCTGCAGTGCCTCCTTAGAGAATACAAAGATTAAGTGAGTTAAAGGAATGAATGTATTATAGGCTGGCTTTAAAAAAACGCAAGATGGGCTGGGAATGTGGCTTAGTGGTAGAGTTCTTGCTTCTCATGCATGAAGCCCTGAGTTCAATTCCTCAGTATCACATACACAGAAAAAGCCACAAGTGGGTGTAGCTCAAGTGGTAGAGTGCTAGCCTTGAGCAGAAGAAGCTTAAAGACACTGCCCAGGCCCAGAATTCAAGCCCCAGGACTGGCAAAAAAAAAAAGAGCAAGATGAACCCAGGCACTGATGCTTCATACTTGTAATCCTAACTACTCAGGAGGCTGAGAGCTGAGAATTGTGGTTCAAAGCCAGTCTAGCCTGGGCAGAAAAGTCTGTGAGATTGTTATCTCCAATTAAGCACCAAAAAATCCAGAAATAGAACTATGGCTCAAGTGGTACAGTGCTTTCCCTTGAGCAAAAAAGCTCAGGGACAGTGTACATGCCCTGAGTTCAAGCCCCAGGGCTGGCATGCACACACAGATAGACAGACACACAGAGACACAGACACAGACACACACCAAGATAAAACATTTTTCTTATTCAAAGAGAAATTAATTTAAAAAGTCAAGTTGGGCATGGGTATAGTGACTCATACCAGTCATTTTAGCTCTCAGAAGGTAGAGATGAGAGGATCATGGTACAAGGCCAGCCTGTGCAAAAAGGTTTGTAAGATCCCATCAGAAGATAAGAAGCTGCATGTGGTGGTATAGATCTGCCATCTCAGCTACATGGTATGTCTAGCAAAACTCTATCTCAAAAATTACCAAAGCACAGGGCTAGAGGAATGGGCCAAGTAATAGAGTACTTGCCTAGGAAAACCAACAAAAATAAACACCAATAGCCAGAAGAGAAAAAGATGAAGAAGATGGCACAAAAAGACAGTGGATCTGAGAAAGCAGGGATTTTTTTGAGGTTCTGAAATGTAGAATACAATGAACATACACATACAACATACATACATACATACATACACACACAGCAAATATGGTTGATGTAGATCTCTTTTAGGAACGCATGCTGTGGGACACATTAGGATTGCAGGGTTTGGTATGCTAAAGGGCAAGTGATCATTTGAGCAGTTGTTTTCTGAATTAAACACAACGTTCAACTGTCTTAAAACTTAAATGTTGGGACTGAGAATGTAACCTAGTGGTAGAGTGTTGCCTAGCATGCATGAAGCCCTGGGTTCAATTCCTCAGTACCATATAAACAGGAAAAGCTGGAAGTGGTGCTGTGGCACACGTGGTAGAGTGCTAGCCTTGAGCAAAAGAAGCTCAGGGATAGTGCCCAGGCCCTGAGTTCCAGCCCTGGGACTGGCAAAAACAAAAAAACAAAAACAAACAAATAAGACTTAAATGTCCTGGGGCTGGGAAGGTGGCTCAGTGGTAGAGTGCTTGCCTTGCATGCATGAGGCCCTGGGTTCGATTCCTCAGCACCACATAAGCAAAAAAAAAAGCCGGAAGTGGCGCTGTGGCTCAAGTGGTAGAGCACTAGCCTTAAGCTGAAGAGCTGAGGGACAGCGCCCAGGCCCAGAGTTCAGGCCCACGACCGGACCCCCCCCCAAAAAAAAAGACTTAAATGTCCTTTCATCTACAAATCTTCACTTTCTTACACCATGAGTTATTTCCTCTGAATTGTATTGCAACTACACAGTATAAATTACAAGTATGGGTAAGGTATTCTTTGTTTTTAATTTTTTTAAATTTATGGTAAAGGTGATAAATGGGGGTGGGAGAGAGATTCTTCTCTATGGCTTCCCCTCTCCTCCTCTTAGACTTAGGAAATAGTCCACACATGAGAAGCCAAGAGCTCAAAAGTCAGAAAAAGAAACATGAGCTTTTCCCCTCACTTTGATCTCTCAATCTGCTAGGTCAATGACAGGTCTGGAGAAAACACAGACATTACCAGTGAATGAAAGGAAAGAAAGCTGTGTGAAACTGCTCAACTACCAATTCAGAACTTCTAACCAAGGAGCAGAGGCAGGACAGAGTCTTAAGCTCTTAGCACATTTCAGTTGGCTATCTTTCTAAAAGCTAGAAATGTAGTGATCTTAAGGTAGAAGAGATGCCAAGAAACAAGGAGATAAAATCAAATATTAGAAAGGAATATAAATTATATGGAAGAGAGAAAAAAAATCAAAGTGAAATGCATTGAGAGCAGACTTATCTTTATTAGCTCCTAAGAGACAGCCCAGTTAGGACCCATGACAGAACATTAAATGCAGACACTTTTTGAAGGTTGTTCCTTCTATTTCTTAAAACGTTACTGTTTCATATCCATTAATTTTCTTTTCTCTTTCCTTCCTTCCTTGACTTCCCCTCCCTCTTTTTCCTCCCTTCCTTCCTTTCTTCCTTCCTTCCTTCCTTCCTTCCTTCCTTCCTTCCTTTTTTCCTTCTTTCCTTCCTTCCTTCTTTCCTTCCTTCTGTTGTTGGTCATGGGGCTTGAATTCTGGGCCTGGGTGCTGTCTCTCAGTTCTTCAGGTCAAGGCTAGCTACAGCGCCACTTCTGGTTTTCTGGTCGTTTATTAGAGGTAAAAGTCTCATGGACTTTGCTGGCCGGGCTGGCTTTGAACTGCAATACTCACATGTCACCCTCTTGAATAGCTAGAATTACAGGTGTGAGCCACCATCACCTGGCTCTTCATTTATTTTTATCCAATATTTTCTAAAAATTTTATTTTCATGAAAATAAAATTAGATAAGAAGAAAAATATCATTTTGGAACAAAGTAAGAAATAAAAACAAAGGACAAATTCGGTCTAAAATCTTTTCTTTCTCCCTCCCTCCCTCCCTTCCTGCCTGCTTTCTTCTTTTCTCTTTTCTTTTCTTTCCTTTCCTTTCTTTGCTGTGCCAGTCCTAGGGCTTGAACCCAGGGCCTGGGCACTGGCCTTAAGCTTTTTGCTCAAGGCAGCACTCTACCATTGAGCCACAGCTTTACTTCTGGCTTTTTGGAGGTTAATTGGAGCTAAGAATCTTATGGACTTTCCTGCCTGAGCTAGTTTTGAACTTTGGTCCTCGTATCTCAGCCTCCTGAATATCAGGCTAGGATTATAGGTGTGAGCCACAGGCGCCTGGCTTAAATCTTTCATTTTTATAGTACTAGAGTTTAAACTCAGGACCTTAGTCCTGTTAGGTAGGCACTCTAAGGCTGGCCCTTTTTGGAGCTGGTATAGCTAGAATAATAGACTCCCAGTGCTCCGAGGTCTGACAAACTTTTCTGCCTGGGCTGATCTCAAACTGCAATTCATCCAATCTCAGCTTCCTGGGTAGCAAGGATTATAGGCATGAGGCACTAGTACCCAGCTACAAATCTGAGTGAAAACACATTTCTGTTTGGCCTGATCCCTTTTGTAACTTGGGGGCAGTTCACGCCTCCTTAGGCAACCTAGTGGTCCTCTAATCCTGGGAGGTGCCATACTGATATCAAACTTGTTTTGGACACCTGATTGACATAGTGTACTACAGCCCTGAACTCCTGTACTCAAGCCTGATCTTCCTGCCTCAACCTCCTGAGTAGCTAGGACTATAAGTGCTTGCTATACTCCACTGTCTTTGCTTAATATCCTCTCTTATATTTTCAGGGGGGACATTTTTCTTTTAAAGCCTAAACCTTCATAATTTCAAGTTTACTTGTCACTGTTTTTCATTTCTGTTGTATCACAGTGACTTTGCTTAGGGATTTGATAATCCTTATTCCCTCACGATTAAGAATAAGAGACTAAGGCTGGATTGTAGTGTACCCCTTTCCTAGCAAAGGAAAAGTATTGGTTTCATTTCCAGAACAACTGAAAAAAAGCAAACAGTTACCCCCCCCAAAAAAACCCTCCTAAAACCCAAAACAAAACCTTAGAACTACTGGATGGAACTGCTGCTTTGGGCACTGTCTTAAGGGACTGGGTGGTCCTTTTTCTGAGTGTGAGCATTTCACCTGTTTTTGACAAGGTAGTGATAGCCTCAATTTTTCCCCAGTCCAGAAACTTATTGTTTATGCTTTTAAAAGTTCAGCCTCCTGGGACTGGGAAGGTGGCTCAGTAGTAGAGTGCTTGCCTTGCATGCCTGAGGCCCTGGGTTCGATTCCTCAGCACTACATAAGCAAAAAGAAAAAAAGCCAGAAGTGGCGCTGTGGCTCAAGTGGTAGAGCACTAGCCTTGAGCTGAAGAACTGAGGGACAGTGCCCA